GGGTAGGAGAAGCAGAGGAATAAGCAGGGCAACCATAATCAAGTTCAGATAGAAAGAGAGGAATGTAAAGAGGAGCGTGCACCTATCAGCTCCCAAGAAGTATGAGACAAGACCAAAGTAAGTTAAGGGCTTTAGAGCATTCAACTTTGAGGTAAGAGATATAGGGCGACAGACAAACGAGTGTCAAAGATTAGCCCCAAAAGCTTAGCAGAATCTTTGTACAAAAAGAGATAACCATAAAGCAACAGAGGGGGACGAAGAATGGCCTGCTTCCGAGTAAAAGTCATAGCACAAGTTTTACAAGTGTTAGTTGTAGAGAACATGAAGCCATGATCGGTGCCCCAAGACAACAAGGCATCAATCGCAAGTTGACTCCGCCGTTGAATGAAAGGCAAATCATTACCTTGACAGCAGAGGGTAAGATCATCAACAGAGTGGAGAACATGCTAGAAGGGAGGAAAGAAGACCATTGAGGGCAACCAGGAAAAAAAAAAAGTAGTGCTCAGAACATTATCTTGGGGTACACCATATTGCCAAAAAGAGGCAGAGAGAGAGTGGTACTAAGCCTCACTCTAAAGGAACGGCTAGAGAGGAAGCTTTAGAGGAAGAGAGGGAGATTACCACGAAGGCCAAAAGAACAAAGTTGGGACAGGATATGGTACGTATCTCCAGGTGGTGGTGTATGCCGTTTCCAGGTCAAAAAAGGACAGCAAAAATGGTGGTCTCCGCAGCAAAAGTAGGACAAATATAGACCTCCAAGTTCACCAAGACATCAGTCGTGCTGCAGCACTTGCAAAAACCAAATTGAATAAGGAAGTGGTGGTGATATTGTTCAAAGAACCACATCAGATGGACACTGACCATACGTTTAAGAGGGCGTCAGCTTGTCATTTCAAAGTTGTTCAATGTCAACCAATATTATTTGACTAGTTGTATATGAAAAGTGCTGAAATTGTCCCAAGTTTCAGTACTGCAGCGTAAATAGAAAGGGAGATTTTTTTTTTTCTTGATGTTTTTTTACACATTTTCAAGTCCACACTTCAGAACACACGTTTCAGATATAATTATTCTGTGACACTTTTCTGACACATTAGCATATAATAAAGGACCTTGACATATAGAATTTCCAAAACATCTTTAGTTTTCCTAATACAAATGTTCAAAGTTCCCAAATTTTTTTTTTGCAAATATGGCATGTTTATTGCTATTATAAAATCAATAAATGAACTTGGATAAAAATGAAAACTCTCCAATGTAGAGACATGCCCTCCACATATACTGTGAAAGTTTCATGTAAATTCAATAAAAAATGAATCAGTTTTGTAAACGTTTGTGTCAATTGAAAAAAACCAGAAATGAATAAAGTCTAAGGTTCTAAAATGTGGCCGAGGTTGATATCAACCAATTTTCTCCAAAATTGGCATCCTTACAGATAGGCTTACGTACAGTCAGGTGTGTAAATTTGATGCAAATCGCCCCCAAAAAAAAAAAATTGAAAAAAAAACTTTTTTCTTAAAAAAATTTTTCAATTAAACTAATTACAATATTTGTTTAATATATGCTATTGTGATAGCAAAGAGTCATAGCTATGATTTCAGTTGACACTTGATTGATAATCGATTTTGACCATTTTGGCATAATTTTCACAACTACTTCAATATTTTTTTTCTCCCTTCCTATTTATGCTACGATGCTGAAACTTGGACCAGATGAAACACTTTTCATATAGAACTTGTCAAAAAAGTTTGATTGAAATCGAACGAGTTTTCATTTTTGCATTTTTATAACCAGACGCCCCCTTAAAGAGTTTGCAGATGCAACTCGTGAAGGCAATGGGGCGGAAGTCCTTAGGGGATGTCCCTAGAGACCCCAGTTTCCGAATAAGGAGAACAACCTTATCTGGGAGTCATTGTCAGTTCCTGAGGACTGGTTCGATGTGGTTGTTCGCATCGAGCCAGTCCTCAGGGACTGACAATGACTCCCAGATATGGTTATACAGATTCAGTAAATACAGTACCAAGACACGTAAGGAGGGCTATGACGAAGCATCTCAATGTCATTCGAGTCAGTTGCAGTAGAACTGCAGAGAGCCAGAGCAGACTGAAGTTCGGAAAGAGAGAAGGGATCGTTATTGGGAAGTCTGAGATGAATGGAGAAATCTAAGGGAAAAAAAACCAAGAACGGGATTACGAAGAAGGAAGGATTGAGGAAGATGAGAACCGGAGTTAACAGTATCATTTCATCCAAATGAGATCAATTTAGTTAAACAAGCCATTTGGAATAGGGTGGAAAAAATGGAAAGATGCATGGATGTACTGTGTGTGTACATATATATATAACTGTAGTTAGGCCCATGTTATAATTTGTATGCCTTTACCAAGCTTACAGAAATGAACTAAACAAATGTATGTATGGTATATACCTTTGATTATTTAAGTACATATACAGTACAGTACTGTAATCCATATCTAAAGATTATTTTTCAGCCAACTTGCCAATATTCAAATCAATATTTGGAGATTTAGAACCAAATACAGTATTCAGAAATGTTTAGATTACCATTTGTACACACATGGTTGGTCTTGACTCCAATGTTATATTTTAATTAGCTTCCCCACAATCAAAGCAATTAGTATAACTTATTCAGTTAGAGAGGTAGTTTCTAATCTTGTATACAAGTGTTAAGTACCATCACATCATTGGCTGTGTGGACAAAAATGTGCAGCTTTATGACCCAGCCCTACCCACAACGATTGCCACACCAACTTAAAATCTTCATACACCAGTAGTATATGCTAGAAAGAGCATTTTAGTGTCTACGAGATTACTGTTGGAAGCGAGTGGTGTGGAGGTGGTATGTGTAATAAGAATGTGAATTGGAAAGTTCCATTTGGGTGGCAGGGATGCACAACTGATGAAGGAGTTAGTACTCGTCTAGTTGTGCTTGTGGGGGTTGAGCTTTGGCCCTTTGGTCCCGCCTCTCAACCGTATGTTCAGGCAAGTAGGTATGATTTGACTGCAGTCTTTGAGCCTAGTGCTGGGTATAAATGAGTTAGTAAGGGTATGATGACGTGGTAGTGTTGACCTCCATGTATGGATACATGACAATGGTGTCATACAAATAGGGAAAATTAATAATTAGAACAATATTAAACTGACAACGTAACAAGCATGTACAGAGTATGGAGAAAACGGAGCAATAATGTTGAATGTGTGCATGACTGACCAACGGAGATGTATTTGAACAAATTCAAAGGAAGGATAAAAGATGGGCCCAAATTCAATAAGGTGAGGGAAAAGCATTATGGAAGTGGCTTCTAGCAAGGGATTGAATACATTATTTTGTATAGTACACGACAACTCATGACTAGGATTGGTACAACTGGTCTTGTGTAGTAGTAAAGAGCTGTTTTGAATAACTATTGTAATGCAACTGTGATTAACTGCAATTCAATAATGAATGGTTAAAAATATTGCTCAACCGCATCCCCACCCCTCTTCAGGCTGATAACTCAACCATATAAAAAAAGGGACATAGGGTATGCTGGTGTTCAAGAAAGTCCTCAAGCTGTATAACCACAAAACCAAAAAATTATTATTTAATCAAATTACAACTACAGCTTATCATAGGAAATCTTTTAGACATGGGAAAGTCAACGGAATTCAGACCATTCATTCAGTTTTCATTCTGAGTAATGACGCAGTTTTATTATTATTTTATGTAATAAATTTTGTCTTCAGAATGGCAAATTTCCCCTGAAAGACATAAAAACCTACATAGGGTGCCAGGGAATTTACAACTAGGTAGGTTTAGGAGTAGCCTGTACTTAATACTGTACATTACACCTACTTTTATATTAATGATAAATACAACTAGCCACACAGATACTAGTATAAAAGGTAATGTGAACACTAAGTAATGATGTGATTTTTTGTATGCATCTTTACCATGAGATACATAACTAGTGGAAGGGATGGCTACACAAACATGTCAAGAGGTGCCATCTACATGTATAGGTACATATAAGTTATTTCATTAGCTCCCCCCCTCCCCCATCTTTCATAATGTACTTTACAATTATAATATTAACAGTTCCACATACCAGTATGCATTTATATTTTTATAGCCATGTCAAGTACCCGTGCTAACATGCAAATATAGGACGTGTCAAAAATGCATGAATCTGAATTCACAAAACTATAGCAGCAAATATAGAAGGCTGGGTGTGTTTGTACTTTTACCATTCTTTAGCCAAAATGCAGAGTATAATGTTATCTTACGTTACCCCTGAATATACATAGCACAGCACCCTATAAAGTTGGTATCAAGTTATCTATGAACATGGTGGGCAAGTACTATGTGCGATCAACTGCCAATCATAAGAACCAGAAGTACTTACCAATAATTTTTTTTTTTTTTTTTTTTTTTTTAGGATGTTCTGTGTGAACTACCGAAACTTTTGAAATTTCTGCAGCTCACACAGGTCAAAACTATGAGGTTTAATCTGACTGAGCAGTGGCAACGTAATAAAAAAAAATCGGAATGCAAGTCACTCTTGCCATGTCTATTACTGAACATGAAATACACCTTGAATGTTGCTTTCATAAGAGCTCCAAATCTCTTCACACATACAAACAACAGAGTTAGCGAGAATAAAGTACTGTACTGTACTATTACGCAGTAAAGGCAGTAAATGTGTAGAACAAATGGGAGTGGAGGTGATCAAAGTCTGCCATTTAAACCTTGAAAAGGTATCCTAGCATATAAAAATGGAATGAGGAAAAAATCCACCATGTCCCGAGGGCCAGAAAGTAGTTGCCAAGACCTGTATCTTACTTTCTGTAGGCACAGCCAGGAAAGCATCAACATACTTTAAGGGCAGTGCACCAACAAAGTCACCCGCTTTACTCAGCATGTGTGTGTGTTAATGTTCAAATAGCTAAGGTTACAAACACTGCAATTGGGGGAAAAAAATACTGTAAATAAATAAAATGAGATATTTCAGCATGTTTTTTTTAGTCGTGTCTAGATAAATCCATAAACAAGCTTAACCAACTGAATGTTTATCTTTTCCATTAATACTGTCATGTTGTGGTAATGACCGATTATGAAACACCTGCCACAAAATTTGGATAATAATCCTTGGCCTATGTAAAACCTAAGAAATTCATTACTTAGTGTAAAAGTAATTTTACACTTTCATTTAGTGTAAAAGATGTTCAAGAACTATTTTGCAGCAATTACAAATGTGCACAATATTGTTTTGCAAAATTTTAGCTGTGAAAAACTATACAAACAAATAGTTCCAAAGAATATATTGAAATTACTGCAAAAACCAACAGCTTCTAGATCTTTGCTAACTTTATGAAGTAATATTTGCACCCTTTAATCATGCATAGTGTCAGAAAGAACAGCCCTACATTTTAAATAACAGTACTATGTACAATTCACTGTAGTGAACTAATCTTAACTGCCAATGAGGGATGTTTGAAGATATTAACACAAACAGGTTCAAATATTACTTAGAAAATTAACCCAGGAGAAGAAATTATTTGCTTTTATTTTTCTGCATTATTATATTTTAATATCCAAGGTAACTAACAGTAAATTCTTTCACACAATTCTCTTTCATCACTTCCATCCAGGCAGGGAAATCTTAGAATCTTTCATAAATTCAATTTATGGGTAATTCAACCATATAAAATGCAGATGCTTAAATCAAGCAGTTACAGTTTTTATTACATAATATATTTAAACATTTCTTACCGATTGTAGCAACATTTTTATGGCAACTTTCTTAAACTACAAATAAACAAATAATTTAGTGATATTCTGGGATTTGTCGCCGAGATTCAAAGAAAAACTACATACTGTACTTTAACACTTTCGCATTCCGATGCCAAAATGTGTCATCCGTACTCCAACAGTAAACGTTTCACTGCCACTAAAACGTATCACCCGATGCAAAAGTTTGGGTTTCAGTTTTTGTGATATTCTATTTTTATCAGACAGTCAGAAAATTTATGAAAGTTGCTGTTATTGTTTATACAGTGTATCTAAGGCAGTCATGTCAAACATGCGACCCATGGGCCACATGTAGCCTTATGCAAGCACACACCTGTGGCCCACACAAAGGACAAGGTAATTTGCTACATTATAAGAAAAAAAATATTCTGCAATAGTTTTTATTAAATAACTGCAATTAGTTGTCCTGTGTGGCCCTCATGATAACAAATGTGACCTATATGGCCCTCGGGGCACCCTCAGTTTGATATGCCTGATCTAGGGCACAAGTGGACTGACCAGATCAGAGAGCTTCCTGCTCGCTCACGAGGCCTTACTTACGACACTTTCATATATTCATTGCGGTCACACATAATCTCGTTTAAATATTTTAATTTTTGCATCTATACTCTAAAACAATATATTTCAAAACATTTTGATGCCAAATTTGTGGTTATAACCTAACTAGTAATTTAAAAAGTGCAACATTATTGTAAGCATTTTCACATCACAGGCTGTCCATACTAGTGCACATATTTTTTCCAACTGAAAATTTCTTGAAAAGTTTAAAAAAAAAATATTTTTTTTTACTGCAGTATTGTGATCATATGCACACATTTCAATCATTTTACTTTTTATTTTGGATAAATAATAAATTAATGTTAAAATGTTCATAAACATTTGTCTATATCGCACATATTCTATTATTAATATGCTTTTGTTTTCGCATCTATTTTTTTTAGAGAACTCATTTATGAGCATCGACACAAAATTTGTAGTAATAACATAAATAACGTAGAAAATGCAAAATCATTGCCAACATTTTGCCTGTCACTTAGTAGGGCCCCAGGGAGCCCGGAACGTTTTCTGTCAGGAACACGCAGAGGCACCAGACTACCAAAGTGTTAAATAAATTAAGTTTTCAATAAAGGATCTTATAAATTTGTACTAATTAAAGAGAAGCACAGCGCAGAAAAATTTCATAATTAAACATTTTTATTAAACTTCAGACAATCATTTAAGAATTTTCACACAATTCAACTTTGCAGCCCACTTGTCCACCTATGAAATCTCTAAGCTGCACCTCTCCTTCCATATCTGAGGGCTTCTGACAAACACACTTGGTAAAATACTCAACTCCTAAATTAGTTAAATTATTGGGTTGTAGGAATACTCTTCTAACTGACCAGAAAGATGAACTTCCAAACAGGAAATTTTCCTAAAATTATTTGGCAATGCTATTATTTGACTAAAAAGGAAATCTTAACAAATCAAAATCAATGTCACTGACAAGTTGCTCACCTGCTCCCTTGCATAGCTACATCAATGTCCTCTTCAAGGCACATGGATAAATGCACAAGATGCTATGAACACTTGTAACTATGCTCAAACACTTGTCAGCAGATGCTAGCAACATTGTCAGCTACGTCCAAACATCCATCACATCCTAAGACAACACTGCTGCTGCTGCTGCTACCTCTACCAGATTCTATTTACACCCTGGCTTTACCCCTTCAAGATAATCATACAAATTATTTAAGTTTGAAGTGAACAAATCTTTATAGTAATAATTCAGCCTGATTCAATAAAGTACAAATTCCAAGGGGTAAATGCTGGATGTAAATCAAGTTCTCCATCTGTACTCAGGTTCGGCACAAGATACACCACTGGCAGGTTTCAATTATGTAAATCTCTCCATTACACAAGATTTCCTCACAGGACTTGCATGATCTATTAAAAATTTTTTAACAAGGTTGTCTAGATTAAAAGGATTTATAATCACAAGGGTACAAAATATATTTCTTAAGAATTCCTGAAGGACAAAATTAACAAATCTTTAAACATTTTCCTCAAAAAACATATCTTCAAAGATATTAAATACAAATTACATTGTATCACCTTGAAAGAAAAAGTTAAATGACTTGACTAAGCCCAAGAAAATGGGTTCATATGATGGGTTTACCTCTCAATTACTTGGGTGCTCTGCCATTCCTTATTTTGTAGTGTTAAATTTATCTTTCCAAAGCTTATAAGAATATTCAACTGGTGGACATTCTATCTTTGTTCAAATCTGAATCTGTTATAGGAACTTGTGTGCCTGGTAAGCAAAGAATCAATTGGTATTCCAAATCTTTAAATCTTAAAACAGAGAAACTTGTGGCAACACATTACATTACTCTCCTAAGAGTAGGACAAAATTTAACGATTCAAACTAATCTTACCTACTCAATCGTCAATTACTAGCTTTTATCATTTAAAGAAAATATAATTTTAACTAATAAACAAGCCTTTTCACACAAACCCCATTTGGTTACAGATATTTGAGACACGGGTACCATACATCCAATCATCGATATGGTGAAGGAAGTCACTACCTATGCAAACATGAGATCAATACTGACACTCCTCTTGCATGTCTTTCATATAAATGCTTAGATTAATGTATAAAATGTATTATACGCGCATGATGCACAGTACAATAGCAAATAAATAAAATCATGTTTCAGTCATCCCACTCTTAAACTTTTAATAATTTATATATAATTTTTTTTTTTTTTTTTTTTTTTTTGGTTAATGGAACAGTTCTGAATGATACGTTCCAGAACCACTACCAACTTGTACTTCCTTAAAGCTGAACTCCAGCAAAAGTAAGTACAATAGTTTTGAATTTATAAATGACAAGTGATCTACAAAATCCTGAAGTACTCTGAACTGCTTATTCTAGTCATAATATTCTTGATAACAATAAGTGTCCAGCTTTAACAGTCTCTACTAGCATCAAAAGGAAAGCTTATTAGTTCTCACAGGACAAGCTTGCTATTCTATACCTGTGAGTCTTTAAGTGTTTCTTCTGGACTGAGCAGTTGTTAAAATCCTAATATGTTAACAATACATTTTTGCTACGAGACTTTTTATAACTGTAGAAATTTAAAATAAATTCTACATATCTAAGTTACAATATATTAAATTTTCTTGCTTGCCACACCCACAGGAGGTGGGAATTCAACATATTTGTGTCATGTACAACTATAGAACATCAGTGACTGGCAGTAGTAAACAGATGACATTAATTCATCACAGATTAAGAGGGTCAATGGGGAAGATAAATCTCACTGCTAAAGCTGAAACAGCTATACCTAAGGTATGACTAAATGACAGTAAAATTAATTTTGATATTCAACAATGACAATTTTCTATATTCATGTGCAATAATTAATTAAATTATCAATCTTAATTTTTCCATCATATGAAATGTAATTCAAAGTCCAACTTTACAATATAACCCTCGTTATATTTTTACAGCAAATAACACATATTGAAATCTTTAGGTATAACTATCTATAGCTGCTCACAACATCTGACATTTACCCCAATGAATCTCGAAATAAATCAATGAAAATTAGTTATGAAAACATTTCTAATACTCTACAGCTAGAAATCACGATGCCAACCATGGATGATGCTCCAATGCCTCTTTCGACCTATCTCCATAGTCATAAAGGATCTCTGTTCCTGGCTCCAAGTCACGTTTAGCTAACAAAATTAAATGTGGTTGACCACTGACCTCCACTGCTTTCGTCACCAGATTACCATTACGACTGTGGTTCACCAGCCGTCCTAAGAAACCACTTTCTTCTGTGGCATCAATACTGAAAGACAATAAAATTGGAATAAATTAAGAGGACATACTGAACCACATTTATTACTACCTATTTCAACAAACTCGCTGAGGCATGGGAAACTAGCCTTGAAAGGACTTAAAAGCACTAAATTGCTGAAGATAACGGAAACCATATGTTACGGACTATCACCACCGCCTGAGTGTGGCCTGATAATTCCAGCGCCATCCATGAGTCAGTACTCAAACTCCCCTGGAATTGGACGCTACGTAGACAATGCCATCTATGGGTGGTGGCGTGATGGTGGCAAATGGCTCAAGATTCCTGCCTTGGCTAGCAAGTGAGGTCATTGTGGATGACCTCTGGTGAGGTGGCGACTCAAGATCAGCGCCATCTGTTGTGCTACAGAGCACAATGTCAATGCCCCCCAGTGAATAAGTGTTATTTCCTGGTTTCACCAGTACCGACCATTTTGCTGATGACGTGTTTGTGTCCACAGAGGTGACGTGGGGCAGCAGTGGTACCGAGGATGGCAATTTACCTTGGGCAGCCTATGTTCTCCTGACTTGGTCCTGCCAGACGACTAAGTAAGCCACCGCCGATCTGATGCAGTGTGTGTTGACTGCTGTTGAAGTAGTATTGGAAGAGATCGGCGTATCCCGGGACTGGCTTAGGGAAGAAACGGGCGACAGTGAGGTGCCTGTTGAGAAGCACTGCTAGCTGGTCACTAGAGGCTTCTGCCAGGGGTTCACTACCCTGTATTGATTGTGTTGTGGCCCCATTCAGCGTGCAGTTGAGGTTCTCTACCAGCAAGTGGCTGGAGAGTGGTCATGGGGGTCTAGGCACCTCGTGATACTGTCTATGGGCTGACCCACAGGAAAGGAAAACTCACCAGTGTTTCCCAGTACTGTTGGAAAAGGTACCAAGTGTAGTGGAAACACTGGGCTTGACGGATTCTGCATTGTGCGCGCGTTTTGAGTGTCCTGTGCGAAAGCGATACTTGTACATAAGTATAGTAATATTCCATTTTTATATACATATCTATTTATGGTGATGGTGAATATATATTGTTGAAGGAAACTGTTTTATTCATTCCCCCCTTTTTATTCTTGCATTATCTAGCCAATTCCATGAAAGCCACTACCGACTTTGGGTCGGATATAACTAATAAGGTTCATCCATCAAGAACCCAGTTACTGGTCCAGTGACCCTAACACCATACAATAAGTACTCTGAACTGCCAAAAATATTATTTACATCTAAGTAAATAACTGCTTGACACATTAACCTACACCAAAGAACCTATCATACTCTTCACTAACCGGTTTTTATCAAATTTTCTACTCTTCCAATTGCTATCTTGTCATATTTTATCATGCATTCAGTATAAGGTCAACTAATGGGGAAAAATTAATTTAGTTTATATGGCCCTGGCTTGGGAAATTTTTATTTGTTTATTTTATCAGTACAGTAAAGCAAGGTAAATATCTGGAGAAAGCACAAAGCCATTATGACAACATAACAGTGACATTAGGAACTTGTATAGGACAACAAAGTGGAGACATACTACTTTGAGCATTTGATTTTCTCAATTACAGTGTAAGTGGGTTGCAAGAAGTAACACTTTGTCAACAATACAAACAAGCATACAGCTTTTGTAAACTAAGTAGCAATGTTGGGTAAATATTTCTATTAGAAGCTATTCAATTGGTACATATTGAGAGTATATATATGGGAGAAGCAAGAGTAATATAGACTGAAAATACAGTACGGGGGACTTACCAGTATTGTTGGTTTTGGAAAGTAAAGTAGTAATTGTAGCAACCCTTTGACGAGTCTAGTGCATAAATCTTCTCCCTCTCCTTGGCTTCTCGCACATCTATAAGATTTCCAATGTACTCGACAACAAATTCTCCCTTGGCAAACTGTCTTGTTGTGACTACCCCACGTCCTTTGGCACCAAAATTTTTCACCTGAGGAACAAACTTAAATTTACACTGAATATTTTACACAAATTTTTTTTTTATAGATTTAAAACTTGTGGGGCATACATCAAGAACATCAAGTCAGCAATTTTTGCAGGAAATTATAGATTTTTAGTACAGTAATCTGGGCTATTGTACTTCTGAGACATTTCTTTTATAAAATCATTTGTTACCAGGACAACAGATTCTTGTACCTTCCCTCTAATACCTTTTTATTCTAGCAAGGTCTTTGGATCCTACTCATGAATTTAATACTATTAAATATTTTTTCTCAAACCGTTATCTCAGATTCTTTGCCCTATTTACCATAGCACATCTTTAGCATTTGTTATTGTTTATACATAGCTTACCACCAAATACTTTTCTTTAAACAATTCACTTCAAAATTTTCAATTTTAGATTCATGACCTTAAATGCCTGCAATTTACTCCAATAAATCAAATCCAGTGTATAATGGTACTCATCTGCACACAATCATTTCCCAACATCTACTTTAATATTTCTACTTAATTCTTTGTAGTGCAATTCCTTACACCGTTTCAATTTACCACACCACGGGCCATACACTTAAATTCTTTTAACTAAGTTTTGTCTTTCAAAAATCTTTAGGCTAACTTAATCTTCTCACCATTTATGATTAACTCTTCTATTGCACAAAGTAGTCAAATCACAATTTACATACCATTCTTAATACAGTACTTATGTCTTCATACTGAAGAATCGGAATTTACAGTGACCTCTGCTACTGTTCACTTGTTAATACTGTCACCAACACCCACAAATATACTGAAGAACCATGGGGTTTGTTGAACAAACATACTTGAGGCAATAGTGAAGTCTTACAAAGGGATCAAACCCACATACCTGAAATCCTTGGGGACATGCACTAGCAACTGATCCACCATGGTCCAGGTCCTGCAGGTCCAGGACCTGCTTTTTAATCTCTCCTCTATTTTCTTCCAATGTTCTTGGGTAAGTGTAGTTTTTGGTTTTCGCTCAGATCTTCGTACAAGGAAGAACCAAGTCATTTGGGTGTTACGAAGTGCATGTGTCCGAGGAGTTCAGGAATGCAGGTTTGATCCTATCCTACAGTTTCAATAATTTCTCGTATACTGTATTGCATAGCTGTAATCTCATTGTGCATTAAATAATATTGCTAGACTTCTAACAAATTCAAGCACTTAATGCAATGACATGCCTTTTTTCTGGTAGACTCCAAGTGACTCCCAGAACCTAACATTAGTACAATCCCACCAAACCTTAACCCAACACACAAGGCCTCCGAGATCCTGCTCTAGCCTCCCAGCAACCAGGACCATGAACTGGCACTATAAAGCAAAGGAGGAGCAGGGAATTAAAGATTATCCTCAAAATATAAGTTGAATTAGGCTTTATTGAAGAAAAATAGCACCTCCAAGATAAAGAAAGCAAATAATTATCGTTGCTGGGTAAAGACTGTACCCTTAAATGATCCTGACTGCCACCAGATGGCAGCCCAGGTCACTAGGTCTTGGCCAACCTGTCACATTTACTCTAGTGCTGCCTATGCAAAATCCCATTGAAAAAGAAGTGAACAGGGCAAAGACAATGAGCCACTAAGGTTTTACCAGAAAAGAATATTTTATTATATTCAAGCCTCTATAGGATTTCAATAGAGCTGCAATAGAGATCAGCTTTTCCAAAAAATTAAGAATGCAAACTGAGAAGACAGGCAGGAGAACACGGTTCTGGACAAAAAAATGCACACTTGCACAGAGACCAAAGGACAACTAACAAGAAATGAGAACATCATTACAAAGAACATCAGAAACTGCAACCCCAAAAAGTATAGAAAATCATCTAAACAACAACTGGATCAGAGAAATACTGTAGAAGGCTGGCTTGACCAAACCTGCAAGTAGTGTACCTAGGAAAAGCAGGCCTTGGAACAAGGGACCTGAAAACCAATGGTGACAGTGCCCCAACCCAAGCTGCATGAAAAGTGCACAAAACCTATGCACTGCAGTGACAAGATAAGAGTGCAGAATGGACTCTGCCAGAGAATGCAGACATCCAGAGGAAGAAGACAAAGAAATGAAACCTAGGCCTATTTTTAACTACCCAAAAGAATACTGGCAACCCAAAAGAACAGAACTCCGTCACTATTCAAAACCCCGAAAAAACTAGCTTGGCAACTCCATGTTACCATTACTACATAGGGCATGGCAAAACAATTAGAACCCTGTTGATGTCCCAAAGGAAGGACCACAAATGCAGCAATGTCCAGCACCGACCAATTGTACACATAGGAGGAAGAAAAAAAAAAGTACTTAGCAAGTAGGCACAGAGGCAATAGGAATGGCCATCAGAGACTAAGAAAACCAAAGCACATCCTGGAAAACAGCAAAAAGCAGTATCAGGTATGGAATCAGATGGCATAGCCAAAACAAACCAGGAAAAAGCATAATAAACCTCAAAAGAACAAGGGACTCCAGTAATCTGAACAGTCAGTCACACAGACAAGTAGATGAGCTGGGAACACGGAAACTGTTTCTGGAAAACATACAGTACTGAAAATCCGAGTTGCTTACCAATCAGTGACTATGGTGGAGCAAGATCTAGCCTCCTAGACATTTATACCCAATGCACAAAACACACTCAACATTAAAGTTCATATTTTTTTGTGGATGGAATTTGCTTCAACAGCCTTTTCCTTCAATGCATTTCACTTGTCGACCACTAATGCAGGAAATGAGAATTTTACATCTCTTCAACTCGATTGTGTGTCCAGCTTTCACTGATATCCTCTTGTGATTCCATTTTAATAGGTTACCTTTGATCACTTTATTCCCCTTGGGATCTTTTATGAAGTGATCATATCTTCTTCTTCTTTCTAGGGTTGTGAGGGCAAGTTCTCTTAACCTGTCCACATAGCTGAGCACTCAATTTTGGTACTAATTTAGTTGCAAACCTCTGAACTTTCTCAAGTTTCTTTTGTGCTTCAGAAGGTGGGGGTTAAATCCTGGTGCTGCATATTAAGTAATGGTCTTACCCAAGTACAGTAGTATATATGGATGTATATATGGATTTGAAAGCCTCCTTGTTTAGATTCTCAAGTTACATTCTGTGATAACTTCCCATGTGCTGCAGAAGTTATCCTGTTCACATGAGCTTCTGATTTTAATGTTGGGATTGTTTCTACTCCACGGTTTTTCTCTTATGCCTATCTTATGATATCAATGCCGATTATTTTTTCCATGTAATTGCCACCTCCTTATGGTGCAGTTAAAACACAGATCTTCTATTTCCCCCCCCCCCTTATCCATTTTCACTAATTTACACTTATTTGGATTGAATTCCAGCAACCATTTATCTGCCTACTCCTGAAGTTTGTTGCTCAGGTTCATACATTTCTGGTTATGCAAAAGAATCTTACTTTTGTAGTGGAAATCTAGAGCCAGATTCTGGTTTGGTTATCACAGGTGACAGATGGGTTTTGGGGGCTTGGTGTGTTGGGCCATGGTTTCGTAGTATCAGAGTTAGGCTCAAGAAGCCATTGGGGGGGGGGGGGGGGTCCTCTCCTAGAAGCACTCAAGATACAGGTAGTTAAAATTCTATGATGATTTTCCTTGATATTCACAGATACTTTTACCAATATACTTTATAAAAATACTCAATACTGTATTACAAACCATTAGACCCTCCTCTTTGTTGCTTTTAATTCTCTCCTCTATTTCCTTCTGACGTTCTTGGATAAGTGTAGTTTTTGGTTTTCGCTCAGATCTTCGTATAGGGAAGAATTGAGTCATTTGAGTGTTACGAAGAGCTGGTTTAACTTCTCCATTTGGCAATGTTGTTGATGTATTAATTTTGGAGGATTTCTCGCCTTTGATCTGCAGTACTCCTCTGGTGCCGGTTTGCATGGGCAGCCTGCAAAATAATGGATTTTATAAGTGTTAAAAGCATATATAATGGGAGAAAAGTTTACGTCTTGTGAGGCGATCATGAACTAGAGATAAATGTGTATTTTCATGAAGGGTGTAGTTTCACACCAGCTGCAATTCCTCCTGTATACTATCCTGATGTTTACGTACAACTTTTTCTCCTGTCAGATACACATTTTTGGTCAACTTTATTTCTGATGGTTACATTCAGTGCATGGTGTGTCAGTTCTTTATCTTGTTGAATAAAAATTAAAACTATAAATTTGCTTGTGCACAAAACAACTTTCAAACATCTTTCCAGCCTTTTACTCAATATAATAATAATATCCTAACACACACACTTCTGTCTTTCTATTTCCCCCTCTTTAGACTCACTGGATGCTTTTCTTACAAGAAACTTGTCCAATTTAAGCATACCAAACTTGACCGCAAGAGCAGAAAAATGGGCACCACTTTCATAGTTTGCTACAAGTTCATTTTTCATCTCTATCGTGGTTCTAATTTTCTTTTTGTTTGGCTCTTATCACTAACTTATGTGCCATGGTTACTTCTTTGCACTAAGTATATAAAAATATCCAAGAAAACACGAGTAAGTTTAGAGATAAATTTAATGGGGTTGTGCTACTGGGGAAACCGACTCATTTGTTAAGCGTGCTTATGTTTCAGTGCCAAATAAACGATCGACTACTGAGCATGAACAGTGTGAGTGATGAATTCTTCAAGTTGGGAGCTGTTTGAGTACCGAGATTCCTCAGCATATATTTTTGATACCCAAACTGAAATGCTTTTCTTTAGACTATAATTTCATATATTGATAGTTTAAAAAACCAAATGGCACCAGCATCATTAGATTAGCTCTTTAAACTTGGAAAATAAGAATTAGGGAAACTAGAAGGCTTATTGGCACATACATTGCAGCTATTTGTATCCACCCCACTCATTCACACATGTCTGACTTACAATTTAAATAATATGAATCCAATGCCTATTATGTTACCTGGTAATTTGTTACATAAATTTAGTGTGGAGGGGATAGTCTAATTGGTGGATTAAGTGAGGTCCTAATAATTTAAAATCCATGCAACCCCCCCTCCCCAACAGATTTTTATATCTAATCTTAATTTCTGATCACAACTTAAGCTTGTATTTCATTGTACTAATGTGTACCAAAGGTATTGAAAAACAAAATATAAAATACCCGGTACTTACTTTTTTCTTGCTTTGGTTGGTTTGCCATTGAATGCAAGCTTCTTTGGCGTGAGAGACAGTTTGAGTTTGGACATAGCAGATGAAGGTGAAAGAGGAGAATCTAGCCGCAGTTTCTCCTCATTAAGCGCCTGAATCTTGTGGGGTGTTGGTGGGCCTGCGTGAGGACTAGTGCTATCTTCTGCAGATAAAGGTGAAGAGGTAAGTGAAGTGGATCCAGCTAATACTGTAGGCACACCAGAATCTGTAGATGTTGCATCAACATGACCAGGACACTGCGTTAACACTAAGCTCTTAGAGCCATTTGAGGAAACGGATACATTGTTGTCAGAGGTGGGAAAAGGCTTAAGTTGCACTTCTTTTAACGCCTGACTACGTGTACATACAGTACGCTTTGGAGGTGTGGTGAGAATACCCACTGTGTCTGTAACACTAATATAGCCATTCATCATTTTTGTAGGTGTACTTGGCGCTGAACTTGGACGAGGCCGGCTCAGCTGGGCACTGGTCAATTCTGAAGCCATTTTACAGCTATCTTGGATGACAGTTGCACCTTCAACTTCAGCATCGTCAGCTGCTGGAGGAGACCTATAACAACAAATTGTGCCCATATAAAAATATGACACGAAAGTGATAAGAGCGCAGGCAATTACCGTCAGGTGCTGGTTCCTTATGAAACAGTACGTCTCACTTTTCAAAATCAAATCCACAAAGGAAAAATTATAACAAAATAAAATGAAACAGCAACACAAGACAATATCTCTGATAAGGTTACCTAATTCAACATAATACATAGGAAGCAAGGAAACTGCAGATGGCCTATTGGTCCATACCAGGCAGCTCCTATTTATATCCACCCAAACTCATTCATATACATGATTAATCTACTCTTGAAACAATCAAGGTCTCCTACTTCTATTATGTTACATAGTACAGTAATTGGTTCCACAAATCAACAACCCTGTTACTGAACCAGTATTTACCCAGGTCTTTCCTAAATCTAAACTTATCCAATTTATACCCGTTGTTTCATTTTTATTATGTGTTGATACTTTTAATTCCCTACATCTTAATCTTTACATCTTAAGTACAGTACATCTTAAAATGTAATTACCTGGAAGGAGAAAAATATGCAGTCATCTTTGTTTCTCTCTTGGCTATGGTGCCTGTGTGACCCAATTTACTGCTTAATAAAGAGCCATTGACTACCATGGCTTCCAGTCTCGAGTCTTTTGGTCCCTTAGGCCCATCCAGGTGATTAATAACAGTGTTCTCATCTTTGCTGCTGCGGACTGTTCTTCGTTTACCTAGAAAACAATTATGCACTATTAATGAATTATTTCTGTAATTATCCTAGACATTACACACACATTGAAAATAACATTTACCACAATGAACAATTATCGAGTACAGTACTGTACTGTATAAATATTTTTAGAATGAATTCCATACATCTAATGCCTTGTATTAGTTTCTTTTTCAATGGTACAAATCGAAGACTCTTTACCTAATGTAAGGTCGACGGATACTACATACTTAAATTTAATAACATTCATGGAGGACCAAAAGTGTAATTTTGTAATGGAATTAATTTAAGAAATTTTTATAAAATATCGAAAGATACTTTACATGCAATACTCATGAAGAAATTAATTAATCTCACAGTGATACAACCATGTGTACTATACTGTAGTATTCTAAGGATTGCTATTATTGAGCACCCTTTGACGTAACACACTTCTTCGTTACAATCCATTATGTTCAAGTACTGTACAGTGGTACCTCGGTTTACGAATGCCCCTCTTTACAAACTTTTCAGGTTACGAGCCCAATTTCTTCGGAAAATTTGAATCGGGTTACGAACTTTACCTTGAGATACGAGTTTGTTGATACGTGTATGGTCGACCTAGCACGTGGTGCCACGGCGATCACGCCTTGGTTTCCCAGTGCCTCCCTACCGACAACATGTTATCATACATACAGATTCAAGAACCGCCATTGAAACCTTGCAACAAGAACACATGTGATAACATACATCTGATCACAAATGTCATATCATTAATGCAAACACTCAAACGACAAGGCCGACGGGTACTTATCAACTGGGTGCCAAGTCATGCGGGAATAATAGGAAATGACATTGCAGACGAAGCTGCAAAACTTGCAACTAAGAGAAGAAATGTAGACATTTACATACCACAGAATCTATCACAGATTAAGAAAGTAATTAGAAACAGAGCAATGCAAAAGATGTACAGTGACCACAACACAGAAGTTGCAACATCAGGATCTGCGGGTTGGTACAAGAATTCAACCAACTACGAACCACTTAGTTTGATGAAAGTGTGCAGTAGAGCAACAGAAGTGCACTTACATCGCATCAGGCTTGGATACCCATGTGCATGGGAAATAGGCTTACAGGTTCTGGAAGATGAGAGGAAATGTCAACACTGTTGAGAAATGCCCGACAGACCACTGGAACATTATCTAACACAGTGCACAGTTACAAACCCATTAAGATTTTAACTTAGATTCAACAGAGCAGAAGAAGTTGTTAAACACATGGCAAAATCTTACTGAAGCGACCATACGAGTAATAAATGCAAGGATTTACAGTTTCTTTTCGGATTTTTTGCTATCTGAACATAAAAGTTGTTATTATATATCTCGCCATGGGTCCCAAAAAACCTAGTGGTAAGGTTCAAGATAAGAAAACATGTGAGAATGACCATAGAGGAAAAACAAGATATTCGTAAACATAAAAATGGTACGTGTTGCTGAACTAGCTATGCAATATAACAAATCTTCAGGTGAGGAGGCGGCGACAGTAGAGGATGTCCCTTCCTCATTAATTAAGAAAATGTGTGCAGCATGGGAAGAACTGCAAAGTTTTGCTGAAAAGAATCACCCAGATAAAGCTTTAGCAGGCCGTTGCATTGATCTTATTAATGACAATGTGATGTCTCACTACAGACAAGTGTTACAAAGAAGGGAAAAACAATCTTCAAGAAAAACTGAGAAATTCATGCAGTGAGCCAGAAGCAGGTCCTAGTGGTATGCAGGCAAAACGTGCCAAAATGAGTACCCCAGCGAAGTCATCACTGCCTGATGTTATAATGGAAGGGGACTCCCCTTCCAAACAGTAACACCTACCCCCCCCCCCTCCTCACTGTCTTCCATATGCCAACAGGAGTCATCAGTAAAGGTAAGTAATAACTTTTACATATTTTTGTAGAGAAGATTAGGAATAAAATTTACTTTGAAATGAATTTTTTGGGGAGTCGGGAACGGATTAATTCATTTCCCATTATTTCTTATTGGGAAATTCGCTTTGGTTTACAAACCGTCTCCAGGAACGGATTAAATTTGTAAACCGAGGTGCCCCTGTATTGTTGACCAAGAAGACATAACCAAGTACAATACAGACACAGGCAATCCAACAATATAATATAGTGTATAGTACATGATTACAGGAGTTCAATGATACAGTAGTTTACCGATTCCTACAAACATGCATGATCTTTGCAGACAATAAATTTGTGACATTTTTATTTTACTGCAACTATGTGGGATGCTGGTAAATAACCATTTACCATAATTCTGGACAATTCCACTTTATGATTAACATCTTCATGGGTATTGCATTCATTCTCTTGTAATTTTATGGAAAATCTAACTCTGATTACTGTAACAGTAAGTTTATTGGAAATCATATCAGTAGTGCATAGTACGACTGATTTATAGTCCACAGTGACTAACCAATAACTAATGTATCTGATAACCAGAAATATTACTCTCCTCTTCCATGTATTAAGTGTGTTATTTTGTTTAGTCTTTTTCAAAAGGTATGTCAGTTTTTAGGGATCTTATTCTTCCTAGTAATTAATCATCTGCAAACATGGTCTAACTGAATACCTCACTTTGTACTCTAGGGAAGTTTGTCAATGAACTTTAAAACCTACCTAACCTAGCCCAACCAAGCCTAACCTCACTATATATATAGGGTTTAAATAGAAATGAGCTTTGTCAAATTTTGTGCAAGATTTAATCGTACCTCATAACTATTCCTCCAAGTACAGGTACGTCTTTTATGAATATTACTATTGCATGATTAGTGGTCCTTGTAGAAAAAAAACAGTAATGTTATAGCATGTATTACAACAACATGTAACCAGTGTATATTTTTCTTTATACCTGTATTATATTAAATTCAAATATGATTTTCAAATCAATATTCTCATCTATTTTTAAAAAACTTTTCACCCGTGCAAGTAGCCATCCCATTAATCCTCCAAGATTCACCAACTAACTCGACGATCACTTGTTTGGAATTTTATCAAATGCTTTGTTTATGTAAAAAAAATTATTTTATCGATTTATTGATTTTGATCCTAAATCAACGTTTCTTAACTCCGAGGGTACCTACTTACTGGTAGGTGACTAAAGACATTAGATGTAATGAAATATGCCCAACATTGAATTAAGCTAGGGAATCTATCTCAGGATCATTTGATTAGCTTTTCTAGTCATCTGGCCACTAAAAGTCTATAATGTGAGAGAAAGAGCCATTTACAGCACTCTCAGCATGGGATTTAAGATAAAGACTACCAGGTAGCAGAGGCAGCAATGAAAACTAGAGCTGTATCAATTTATCAGTGGTACTTGGACTGTTTTTAGCAATAATGGTAAGAATTTCAGCCAACTCTGCAACATAATGTGTGCACTTAAATTTACATTCTGGGAAAGGTTTATATTTTATAAGCTTTCATACCCTATTTGTAGATGTTAATACTGTACTTATATACAGTATGTATATAAATGTACTGTATAGCCAACTGGCCTGCTAATTTATTTCTGATGTAGACAAGGAGCAGTGGCTACTCCTTGGCTACTATATGGAATATTCTAATTTCAGATACATGTACCAATAAGCAGGCCTAAAAGGTTCAAACAAAACACTGAATTCTCCTGGCAATGAAATTAGTAAATGTCAGCTTGTCACACACAACTCTTCTCACGTTATCATTAACTCTCACCCACCCACATTATTCATTCTTCCACCCACTGATTTATAATGACACTGCTATTGTTGCAGCAACAAAGGGAATGTTATGAGAAAATCCAAGTATGATTACTCTGAATATTATTTATTGTATATAAATAATTTAACAATTATTTAACCCATAATTAAATAATTACAATTAAGAAAAAGTACCACAAATTGACAAGATTTTTTGGCGAGTTTCGAACCAAATACAGATATTTCCAAGGTTAAAATGTGCATGATGGTTTTTCTGTCATACTGTATAAGAAAAAGAAAAAGATGAACTTTTGGGGATACAAGTCACATCAGTTACAAAACTATTTGACAACAAATTTAAAAGCCAAGCGCAAAGTAGCATAACCTACAGATACACACCGCTCTTGCAATTATAATTGCCCATGCAGAACTTTACCCAACACCATATATAAAGTCCATACATAAAACTCAACAAGAATGACCAAACTGAACAATGCCTATCGTACAATATCCAATTAACAGTCTGTTAAACATGAAATGATTAATCCATACACAAAACCTATGATGCAGAAAACAACTACAGTATCTGTACATGAAACAAACAATAGGTACAAACAGTGGGTGCAAAATGACCAAATCCCAATTTTTAGGTGGGGTTAAAAGTATAAATAAACTTTTCTTGGATAATGTGTAACAACTACTTAAATGTCACAATTACAATAAAATATGGGCCCACGCAAAACCAAGAGCAAAAACTACTGCTAACACATCCAAGTGTCAAAATGAAGTGCAAATGCAACCAATCATGTCGCTCAGTTAGTGACTTACATAATCTTAATAAGAGCATACAATAATCATGTACATTCAGTTATAATGAGCACTTTAGCCGTATTGGACAATTTAAACCGATAAAAACCCAAAATTTTCGAAGTACACAAAGTTTTGTCAAAACAAAAGCTAATCGGAACCCCAAACTCCATAGATAAGCTTTCCCCACTTCTGAAAATACCCTTGACAATGCCCAAGAGGTGAATACAACATGAGGCAGCGAACGGTGAGGGTCAGCAACCTCACTCTTCACCTCATTACACCAGAGAAACACGAGAGAGCAGCCACGGGCGGGGGAGCCAACCATTGCCCACCTTTTAACCAGATTACACCATCTCATTTCTCTCAAAACTCACGAACCTCCTGCCCCGTCCTCACCTCATGACGCCCGAGAGGTGGGTGGTGAGGGAGGTGTGAGGAGTGTGAGGGAGGTATATGAGTGTCGCCCACGGCGTCAGGGTGGGCACCAGGTCCGTTATCCCAGGCTCTGGGCGATGCCAAAACACACCCAAAACAAAGCTCACCTTTCACCATTTTGCCGCGGTGGGCAGAGCGGAGAGCGATACTCGTGCGAGCGAGGCTGTGGCTCACCATGTACTAGCCGTGATCCAGGTCTGCGGGGGGTTAATCAGTCAAATAATCACGGCCTAGCGACTGGTCTCAAGACTAATACTAGCACGCGCTCCCTCGCTCACCTCCTCCATTCAAACAGAAAATGAGACTCGTTTCGCTCTCACTCCCTTTTTCACCGATTGCTTCACAATCTCTCATTTACAGCTCTCCACACCGCTTACTTGACTCATATCATGTGTTCTGTCAACATTGCTTTCATATTTATTAATAAAATACATCATGAATGATTGTTATGAATAAGGTGGCTGCCCGGTGCCATAATGGTCCACCAGCTGATGGCTAGCGTGTGAGCTTTCACTCAGCACGAGGGAGCCTAGAGTAAATACAATGGTGAGCCCGCCACTAGACACTTCACATTAGATATTTAAAATTCGTTTAAATCCGGACTTTTAAATTTGGGAAACGTTATGCAATATAGCGTTCATGAGACAGCTGGTCAATACATAATATAAGACTCAAATCAATCTGTGTCTTGTATTATTTTATCGGTTAAACAGCTGATAGCATTTAATATTGTTGAAATTATGCAATATAATTTTTGTTAATGGAGTGTTATGGTTTCCCAACAATATTCCTATGATTAAAGCCTCCGTATACCTAGTACTAAATTATATTATCTTAACTGGAAAGCTTAAATTGAGTTGTCAGCTTTTAAAAGTCAAGTTAAACTCTATGAGTGGTAGTGGTTTTGCATGAATGTAAAAATACCAATATTATGTACTCTCACAAACCCATTGTACCTTCTTGTAAATAAATAAATAAGTCTTTCTATCGTTAACCATTCACAGACGCAGCAGTTAACATATTAGAATTATTCTGTCGATTTTTATTGTTAGTATAGTTCATTAATTATGAACCACTTAAAACATTCATCCTGTGAGTTGTGGTGGAAAGGTTAGAGGCACATATATGGCTTCAGGAACTGAACCCAAAGATTCGTTTAAGTAAGCAAGTCACTGAAAATATTTAAGATTAAGCAATAATTAATCTCTTATATATATATTCTCGTATGCCTGCAATTGATCCCCAGCTTCGTCCCTCACATGTTCTTCCCCCTCTTCCCCAGTCTTCCTTTCCCCCTCTCCCCTTTCCCCCCTCTTCTCCCATCTCCCCTTCCCCCTCTCTCCTTTCCCCCTTCTTCCCTTCCTCCCCCCTCTCCCCCTTCTCTTAAAATATTTACTGAAACACTGAAACAACTCTTTGGGTTTCTCAGTAAATATATTATTATAATCACAAAAACTCTAGGGTAAACACACCGACTATGTTACATTTGACTCCAAGAAAATTGCACTGGGGGTTTTCATAAATGCTAGTATTTCCTAAAGCATTTAACTTAGGCCAACCCCGATCAGCCTATGTCCATCCCGTATCCTCGATCATTTCCCTTGCAAACTTGTGCATGGGAACTGAAAATTTATATAACCTGGTGATCGATGATGAATTTAATATTAGTTTTAGTTCTCTGACATGTGATGGGAGAGGAAGATCTCATATTGATAATTTTCTCATTGATGAAGATCAAACTGTCACATCTGTGGGTAGCACCTGTAGCTATCAGTGATGGTGACATCCTATCCGGGCATGTTGTTGTCATAGCCGCTGCTGCCGGTGAGAACAAAATCCTCCCTAGAACTCCTCTACACTGGGATAAGGCCACTGTTGCTGACTTGGATAACTTCAAAGGGCTGCTTAATAGAAAATGTTGTAATATTCAACCTCCAATCTTCCGTATAATTTCAATCAGAACAGTCATGTCAGTGCTAGTTAGGATGGGAGAAGAAAGTATTCCCTCTTATAACAAATAAATTAAGATGTATGGCTGGTTGAAATAATCACGTTAGGGAATCCCAAAATAATTTTTTTTTGTCATAACTTATGGAAAGATGCTGGGTGTGCCAGAGATGGCTGGCTACTTCAGATCAATCGTAGCACCAGGGCTCAATGTCATCAAACCATAAAGAGGATTAAGAAAGAGAAGGATAATGTGAGAGCAAAGGTTAACGATAACCGTTCAAGAAAAAGTTATATGAACTTTGGGGGAAATTAGAAAATAAAAAAGTTCATGCAAAAGGGTAACGAAAAGCATGAATGATTCCTCTCGGCCCCCATAATATATGTAGTGTATTCAAAGAGAAATATTCAACGTTGTACAACAGTGCTATATACAGCACAGATGACATTGAAACTGATCTAACTATAGCTATATGGGACACCTGCAGTAATACGTGTATACACCTAATATTAAACATCTGCGCACTGTAACCCCTGTAATGGCTGAGAAAGCTTTAAGAAAGTTAAAAAATTGAAATTTTGATAGTCCCTTTAACATATGCTCTGATAAGCTTAACTATGAAACCCCTAAACTGTACGCTATTTCTCTTTGTGTCTAACAAACTATCTCTCACGTGGTGGTACATTGCGTTTGTAATAAGCACATTTGTACTTGTTCCCATCCCAAAGAACTGCTGATCTTCTATATATGTCCTCCTCTGATAACATTATAGAGTATTTGATTATATACTCATTGGCTTTCTAGGTGACGAACTAGACATATCTGACTTTCAGTTTGCATATAAAACTGGCTATTCAAAAACGCCTTGTAGTTTCGTGGTGGCGGAAACTATTCAGGACTACTAGTTATAGGTAGCTCTGTTTTCTGTTTCTAGATGTTTCCGAAACTTCAGACTAAGTTGAACATACTACAGATTAACTTGGCAGAAAACTGTCCCGTTATCGCTAGATATTTATAGATATATTTCTTATCGGGTATGTAAATTAGCTGTGAAATGGAGCAATAGCCTCTCTGACAAATTCTCCCCGAAAATGGAGTTAAACGAGGTATTGTTTTTAGTCCTACATTCATTAATATCATTGCTGATCAATTATTGAAAGAGTTAAAATACAGTAGAGCTGGCTGACGCTAAGGCCGATGTTTTCTGTTATACTCGTGAACTAGTTCTACTCACACCGGCCAAATAGACAGTGGAAAACGTAATAGAATATGAGATAGAAATAGTGCAAAATATAACCTACCATTAGTAAGCATCCATCAGTCTTAGGAGACTATAGAGTTGCGCTCTGGTTGTCGGTCTACCCTTCCATTAAACCCTGCTAAATGTGATGTGGTTGCCATTAACTCACAGGACTCGTTTCATCGAAATCACAAACAAAAATTACTAGGAAGCGAGATTTTAATAAATTATTCTGAAAAGTGTCTGGGCTGTTCATTCATATTCATTATATTCCCAAAGGGTCCACTTGTAAATTTTTCTGATGTTAGAAGCTGAAGGTCAGAACAAATGCCATTCTGAGTGAATTTGGCCTTCTCGATACCTGATTGAAAGTAAAGGTATGTAGTAGTTAACGTCTAAGCTTATATGGATGTGAACTACTGGACGAACAAAATGTTGACCATGGTAAGTTTAGCTGTGAATGGAGTTAGTTTAGTTCATTTATTATGCACCCCATACCCATCTTGTGGGCGGTAGTGGAAAGGGTTACAGAGGCACATAATGGGCTCAGTGAATGGAAAAAGTGTTTTAAACGTACCTCGCATGTCCATCCTCGCATTCACTGCAGTTTCCTACCTCATACCCGCATTTAAACAAATAATTCACAAACGAATCATAACTAACGTACTATAATTTTAAATAAACTTTCCCAATTATAAATGTGCAACCATTTATGAATAACGTTTTTGATTTGATTTGACTGAAGAATAAATTTTCGTCGATACCGCCATCTGTTGACTGACGGTAAAAATAGAAACTGGCAAATGGTCACGAAATTCTCGCACAGTTTCTTCACCGCTCTCTTTAGTTTCCGTCCTCGCTGCTTGCTGCACCTATCTGCACATTACCTTTTGAGGCTACAGTGCAAGCTGCTTGTTCAAGTTTGAGCTCTGTGCTCCTTGGCGTTTTTATCTCCACCAACCGTTGAATTCATTTGAAAAATGTGCATTTTAGTACTTCGTGCTGGCGAGTTGTTGGGTACTATACAGTTTAGTCAACAAACCACCAGCCTGCGTTTGTTTGTTAAAGCTATAAATTTAAATCACTGTCGGGGGACAGGAAGCCAGAGCGTATTTATAAACGTTTGGATTTTATCCAGGCCTTCCTTCCCATGGCCGAATTACTGACCCCGCCCAGGATGCAACCCCACAACAAGCTAACTCCTGAGTGCCTACTCGGGTGAACAGAGGCATTAAATGAAAGGAAATGTGTCGAATTATTTGTCCCGTCCGGGATTCGAACCCGGAATTCTAGATAGTGCGTCGAGCAGCCCGTTCTCTAAACAAAGACCCCAAATCCATTCCATGCACCGGCCAAACCCCGTTTATGAATGGAAAAAAAAAAAAATTTGCACAAGAGTCAAAACTGATGACTTTCAAATCCTTCCGGAACAAGTGCTTTAGTGTTGAATTTTGTTCGAACCACAACGCTGTAAATGCTTCACTCGCGTAATTCAAATAATCGCCAACAGAACCCAAACGCCTAACCAGTGCTTAAATATGAACAATATGCTAATCTTGTATAAATAAAAATGTAAATGTGCGTTTGTTCAAAATCGCTAATCTCCGAAATTTCTTCACCGATTGCTTAGAAATTTTGACAACGCTCCATTCGCATACGAGCGTTTTTTTTTTTTATTTTACATACCTACTATAAGATGTCACGTCTGTGACGGGTAAAACCGTGCTTTTTGTTAACTTCTTATTTTTCAGTGATGGGGAAAACCAGATCACTTGAAATCCCTCGAACAAGAGAGTAGGGAATGGTGGGGGGGGGGGGACGACGACGATGGGAGTGGGGAATGGTTGGGGGTGAAGAGGAGAGGGTTGCTGAGCCACAGCAACGCGTGGCCGGGTACAGCTAGTATATAACATCAAATTATATTTGAGAAAACAGGCTGTTCAATCAAACGGAAATTAAAATTTATGAATGAAGAGTCTTTGGTGTCAACCGCTGGATGAAATGGACTTGCTCTGAGAACAGGTTGGCGTAGAGAACGAACCCGACTGTACTACCGGGACCTTTATTTAAAGGATAATTTCCCTGGGTCGACTTGTCTTGCAATCGCATGCACAAATGATTGGGCTTAGGAATTCTCATTGCATTTTCAGTGGGAATAAACTTGGCCGCCTCCAGCGGCAACAATTAAATGCAATGTTGAGTGGCTAACCTGAAGCCGGAAAGGTGGCTAACTAGTAGACCAATGCATTTGTATCCTTTTAAAGTTATAATTACCTTAAAAACAAAAAACACAACAACATTGTCATTAGATCTGAATTGAGATTAGTTCTCGAGAGTACGGATCAAAGAACGGAAATGCGTGTTTAGAACTTGAAGAGTTTGGCAGTTATCTAAAGTCACTTAGTCACGATTAAGGGGGAGTGGGATTGACGCTTACGGTAAACCTAATCCAGTTAAAAAAAAAAGCTTGAACAAAGATATAATTTTCTTTATTCCAGATATTACAATGTTTAAATCTAGTCAACAAAAGGCTGCTTATCTTTTATTTACAGAACCGTCCATGATTGGTGTACATCGAGACTTTTTTAAAGTTCAAAATGTGAAGAAAATAACATTATCAAAGTTCAAAATGTCTTCACCACTGAAGGCTCCGGGATTGTCAGAACTAGGGCAGCTACTCCTAACTGAAGTCTAAAAATGAAATTATGAATTTTAATAGTCTAGGACAGCTAATGGTGGAAGACTTGCAAATTTCAAAGTATATCGCAGGGAAGCAAAATGCCGAAGCAGTGTGTGAATGTCACCAGACAAGGAATTACTTTAATAAAAAAAGATATCTTGTAGATACTCTTTTTGGAATATGTAAAGTACTTGACAAGCTCTTATGCTTGTAAAAGTAGTTTAAAAGTTCAGCAAAATGATTTAAACGACGTGATAGAAAATGATCTAGACAGACGGTCAAGGTGGACTAATAGTTGGCAAAGATTGGAGAAAGAGTGACCATAGAGATGCAGGATTGAATCTCTTTTGTAACGCACAGTCTATGCATTGGCAAGAGTCAGAGTGGAGACTTGAGACTTACCAATTTGAATGTAATGATGCCGATGAGGCCACGTCCGGTACAACTGTGCAAGATTGGTTGCTTCGTGAACACGACCCGGACACACGGGTGATGTCAAATGCTGGGGACGCCGGTAGCTCTGATAGACAGAGGGACGCCGGTGCTGGACCTGGGGACGCCGGTAGCTCTGATAGACAGAGGGACGCCGGTGCTGGACCTGGGGACGCCGGTGGCTCTGATAGACAGAGGGACGCCGGTGCTGGACCTGGGGACGCCGGTGGCTCTGATAGACAGAGGGACGCCGGTGCTGGACCTGGGGACGCCGGTGGCTCTGATAGACAGAGGGACGCCGGTGCTGGACCTGGGGACGCCGGTGGCTCTGCAAGACCGAGGGGTGCCGGACCTGGGGACGCCGGTGGCTCTGCAAGACCGAGGGGTGCCGGACCTGGGGACGCCGGTGGCTCTGCAAGACCGAGGGGTGCCGGACCTGGGGACGCCGGTGGCTCTGCAAGACCGAGGGGTGCCGGACCTGGGGACGCCGGTGGCTCTGCAAGACCGAGGGGTGCCGGACCTGGGGACGCCGGTGGCTCTGTAGAAATCGCAAATCCTGTACGACGTGCAAAGAAGGGGAATAACCCAGCTGAATCAAAAGATAAACATGAAATGTCTCTTGTGTTAAGAAAGCAAGCCAGGAACAAGCGTTATCGCAGAAGACGTGCCAAGTCTGTGATCAACGCTGAACCAGATGCCCCTCCAATCGAAAACGGACAGAGGGGTAATGGGGGTGTAGGTGGTGCCTCTCTCCCAGGTAATCGCGGTAGTTTCAGTTCTCTGACTGGGTCTTCCCAGTCTTTTATCTCCTTAAGTTGTAGCGCTGAAAATAATAGCAGTTTAACTAAAGTTATTTTGTTTCTCGGGGTAGAAACTTCAACTAGTTCTCAAAGCGGTGCTACCAATGGAGAAGATAGGATAGTACCAAAGAGGAAGGGAGTACATGGAAGTGGATGCTCTTCTACCCAAGAGGATAGTGGTTCCCCTTTGACTCGGCATACAAGCAGAGGGTTATTTAAAGATGCAACTCCACCCAGGCCTGCAACGTCATCCACCAATCCATCTCTGAACATGGATTTGTCTGTCGGTAACAGTTCGCGAGTTGACAAGCGGAAGACCATACACTGCTACTCCAAATGCAAGCTCGATCCTCTCGATAGTTCCTCTATCATCCGGAATATTCATCCTGAGTTATTCTTGTATCGCTAATTCAAGTATGAATGATGGTAGAATCGTGAACTTTACTGATCCTTCATCTTCTCGCACCAATGACTCTGCTGTTTCAGTGGATACTCTGACCATCATTACCCTAGGGAGCTTTAGGGGGTCACTGCCTTCTCGCGCCAATATGACTGATGTTGACCAGACCACACACTAGAAAAAGTTTTCTAGTGTGTGGTCTGGTCAACATACTTCAGCCACGTTATTGTGACTCATCGCCTGCAATATGACTGATGCTTCAGTGGACACCCTGACCATCACTACCCTAGGGAGCTTTAGGAGGTCACTGCCTTCTCGCGCCAATATGACTGATGCTTCAGTGGACACCCTGACCATCACTACCCTTGGGGGCTCTAGTGGGTCACTGCCTTCTCGCATCAATGACTTTGCTGCTTCACTGGATACCCTGACAATCTCTACCCGCGAGAGTTCTGGTATATCTCTACCCCGTAATCAAACAGAGGATGAATCTACTTTTCCATCTGTTGCCTCGCCTTCGCATACCAGTGACTCGGCTGCTCTGGTGACTACATTGGCAGTGTCTACCTACGAGGATTCAGACTCTGACTGCTAGTATGGTTGGTAAAGGCAGTGGGCAAAGCCACAGAACCTATTTAACTCGTTGCTAGATGGAGTAACCAGACGTTCAGGCTTATGGCTGAAGTTATATTAAAACTGCAGAAACGGGGGGGGGGGGGGGGGGGGGAGGAGGAGGAGATCTGAAGGTAAGATACAATGCATAGTGAACGTTAAGTTATGGAATGTTACGAAGTCGTGAAGGTGTCTTCATTAACACAATTTTTCTAAATTAATAAAAGTTTCTAAGGATATCAACATGCACTCTTGCTTAACGCTTAGAATATTGTAATTTTTTGAAACAAAAATTTAATGTTTGAATATGTACTAGATATATTTTAAAGCAAATAATTTTATTTATACTGAAGTATTGTATTGACTAATTTTTTTTCATTTTCAGCAGAAGTGCTTGCTCTACCGGGATTTAAAATGGTAAGCATTTTGAATTTTAAATGAACAAATGGCTGTTATGCACTTTGTTTACACGTGTAATGTGAAACCTGAAGATAACACTGACTTCCCATTAATATGTCAGAATCCTCTTTGTGGTTTTTCTCTTTTTCAGTTAGCTTCCTAAAGTGTCTGCAATAGCCTAGCAAACTACTGAAGCTTCATATGATCCTGTACCAGATGTGGGGAAAAGGTCGCTTGAAAATGCTGGCCTGATTGCTTTCTATCGCATCTGTTCTAGTAGTAAGTTTATTCTTAGCGGTAACTGGTTTTCATTCGGAATCATTAAATATTTCTGTGGCGAAACAACTTTTGTCTTGGGCTATGTTGGCTCCAGATTTGCTCTTATTTTGGGCAATTTTACTTTTCAACTTTGGCGCAGTTGGCTACACATTTCTTTACCCATTAAGCGTTAATCTTAAGGGGATTTTTTAGATACTTGTCTAGTACTAGATCGGAATGGGAGAGTTAAAAAAATGGAAGACTGATAAACCTTATCGCATACTAGCGTAAATATAAATTATGAGCTTCTAAAATTAATTCTAATTGTGAATGTGTAGTTGTAATTCTATAGTGTTTAGCTTGTTATCTTCTGGTAGTTCCTAAGCTTCTAGAAAAGAAAGTGATCACTATTTCAGCTAAACTTAATATGGCCGTTACACTAAAAGTTTAGGTAATATTTTATTCCCAGCTGCTACAGGAAACTCACGGTTGCAATTGCTGTTTCTTTTAGAATAAGATATACTTATTCTAAATAATTGGTATCTTTTTAAATACAAAATATGATACTCAAAATGAACACAGGTTTAGGCTACATGGCGGTTAAATATATATAATCTGATAATCTAAATATTTTAGATGTAGTTCCATAACTTTCAGCTTATTAATTTATTTCTGGCAGCACATCAGTCTTAAATACTCGATAGGAATGGATTAGAATAGTGAACTTCGGATTCTATATTGGAAAATGAAGCTTCATCTACTGATATAATCGTTCATCCTCCACTCTACGTGGTGGCAACGTAAACTATTGCAAATTAAGCAATCTTGAGACGACACTTCATATCAGACTAGTATCTACTAACATATATATTGCTTGTGCTTTAAATTATAACTAGATTTAATGGACTGTACAATACGCATCTAAATCCTTGCCGTTAAAATGGTTAAAATTGCATTAATAAGTTATTAAATGCTTTTTTCACCTGACCCAGATCAATAAAAATAATTCAACTTGACTTTACCAAACGTATTGGTACTATATGTAATAAGGGAAAGGAGGTCATGGTTTTTGACAGCTGTATTGCTCACCTTCCAAGTTAGTTCCAACCTGTAGGGGGGCGGTGGGGGGGGGGGGGGGGTGGAAATGGGAGCCTCGCCCCTCCCCTCCTCTTCCTTTTAACAATATAAACGCTTATATTCGACTAGGTTTATTATGGTATTTACAATCTTTAATTGCGTTCATATATTTCAGCATGTAACGTAGACAGTCTGTGGAGGGGGAACTGGTACTGTGAGGCCATTCAGATGGACGCCTCGTCTTCAAGGATTTTTTTTTTCCAAAGTCTGTAGCACCGGGGGAATGTGATACTTATGAAGACTAGATTTCCTTTGAATGCTTCTTGGCCCAGATGATGAACATTTGCTAATGGAATGGTTGGCACAAGCGGAAAACAAAAATTGAAAAACCAGATGCTATGTATGTAGATACCGTGACAAAAATTGTTGGCATTGTTGTAGTATCTACAACGGTCTGCTGCATGATGCGAGGAGGACGTGTTGCTCCGCATCTTCGTGTTTGCACGTGGCTGCTGCAGCTAGATGTTGTGAATTTGTTCTCGACTGTTGCAGTGATACAGTGCCTTTGTGTATCGAGGAAATGGCTGAGGCGGTCTGCCTAGGTGATGGAAGATCCTGTACTGGGCCTGGAGAGTGTGACAGTGGGGATGGCAGACAGGATGATACTAGGCCGTATCAAGCAGTAGTAAACAGATATAAACGGAGAAATATTCAAAGACAGCGAGACGAAGACAGTGAGGAGGAAATAACAAAGAGACCAAAAAATGAAGACATGCTCAGCAGGACGCGGGAGATGCAGACTAATGGAAGGAAGAGGCTGTTGTTCCCTACAGCATGTCAACTGAATTTCCATCAAAAGCTGGAGTGGACGGTTCGTTTGGCTAAGGAGTTTTTTGAATATGAACCACTATTCAAGGAGGGTGCTCACCGGCCCTACATAACAGTTGGGACAGAGGAGGCCGTGGAACACCTAACGAAGGATGGGTTTGAGAATATTGTGATGGTTACTCCGGAAAAAGGTATGATGTACACCAAGGTCATAGTGTTTAAGTATCCAACTTATTTGGATCCTGATTATCTATTGCTCAACAATGATAGTGTTGTTTGGGCAAAGAGGAACAGTGTTCGTGGTGAAAAACAAAGCCAGGTTGTTGCCTTGGTAAAGGGTGAGGCTCCAGAAAGAATTTTTGTGCAAGGACTAGGCTACAGGAAAGTTGTAAAATACATTGAGGAGCCCATATTATGCATGAAGTGTTCTCGTTGGGGACATATGGCTTGGAAATGCCAGTTTGACTCCAGGTGTCGGTACTGTGGTAAGAAACACGACTCTCGAGAGTGTAGAGTCAAGATTAAAAACGGTGAAAAAATCGTCCCATCTTGTTGCAATTGTCGAGGAAGCCACAATGCTGGTTCCTATCTATGTCGCATGAAGCCTCATCTGAGAGACTCGAGGACGGGTGCTACAAGCAGGATAGATGTATCCTCGAAGGAAGGAAAGATTGTGCAGCAGGAACATGGAGGAAACAGTTGGAAGCCAATGACAGCGCCTATGAACAATGTGTGGGAGAAAGGAACAGAGACAATTAAGGCGAGCCTAGGGAAAGTAGGAAATGCAGCTGAAAAAATTAAACCTTGTGGAAACAAGGTTCAGGTCAATATAGTGAACTCTGAGGTTGGTACTCAAATATTGGAATATCTAAAAAAACTAGAAAAGAGGATTGAGGCATTAGAAAAATTAACTATGGGGGGTAGACGGGGTGAAGATGGTGGTGAAACAGGACGAAGTGGAAAGTGAAACAGGACGTGAAATGGAAAGTGAAACAGGACGTGAAATGGAAAGTGAAACAGGACGTGAAATGGAAAGCCAAACAGGACGTGAAATGGAAAGCCAAACAGGACGTGAAATGGAAAGCCAAACAGGACGTGAAATGAAAAGCCAAACAGGACGTGAAATGGAAAGTGAAACAGGACGTGAAATGGAAAGTGAAACAGGACGTGAAATGGAAAGTCAAACAGGACGTGAAATGGAAAGTGAAATAGGACGTGAAGTGGAAAGTGAAACAGGACGTGAAATGTGCGTTGAAGAAAGTAAGGAAGAACATGACGTATTGATGATAGAGGATAGTCAGGAAAATGAACTTTCTAGTAGTGTTAGCGTTCAACCTTCTGTAGTGACAAATGTCGAAACAAAGGTTAAAGTAAAACGGTATAGAGAAATAAGAAAGAAATTAGATATGAATAAGATCACCTTTGATGCTAGTAGCTGTTGTGCAAATGAGGAGAAAGCAGAAATGTTACAGTGTTGGGAGAGTCTGTCTGAGAAAATCTCGTATCTCATGGAATGTGACAGACAGGGCAAAGGTAGTTTTATTAAATCATGGATGAAAGTAGAGTGAGAATATTATCTTGGAGCGTTAATGGGTTAAAATCTAGTGCGGTGGATGTACACTATTATACTCTTAGATAGTACTATATTAACCTGATATGTTACATGGGATTCTTGTATTTGTACTCACTGAATTTGTGCGCCCCTTGAGGGACTTGAAGTATGGGAAGGGGTAGAAATAGCCTAAGCTAATCTTTGATTTTTTTTTTTTAACTTGTCTCAATAAACCTACTTGAACTTGGAAGACCATTATGTATTAAAGTGTCAAATTATGGATAACCATAGAAATAAGGAAATAAGTAGTGTACCACTTCAAATTGTTTGGATGTGTGATAATGATATGATAGACAGAATACTTAGGAACTACAAGAATTTTGCCCCAATGATTGTAACACTTACTATATTAATATGCAATGTTAAATGTTGTATTGTGATTTGTGTATCTGTACTCACTGAATTTGTGCGCCCCTTGAGGGACTTGAAGTAGAGGGGGGTAGAAATAGCCTAAGCTACTCTATCCCTTTGAGATGTATTTTTTTCTTGTCTCAATAAACATACTTGAACTTGAACTTGAAGTATCTACAATAATGGAGTATTACAAATAGTAACTTTATTTTAAATGAGCTCAAGCTAGGACTTGCCTTGTTTCATTAGGTAGTGATATTTTTTATTGTGAACTTGACCTACCTATGGGTTTCAAATTTTAGTGGTAATTTATTTTAAATAACTCTTCCCTTCAACGCACATTTATAATTTTAGGAGACGTAGAAATGCTTCAGTTCAGGTTGACTTAAACCCCCTCTTAACTTCACTTCTTGCTTTAGATTGACTAATTCCTGATTCACGAGTCTTAATTAAAAACCCGTGAATAGACCATAAAGATACCCGTATCTTTAGTTTTCCTTAATATGGGTTTTTATGGAATAGTTCAAATGATGCACAGTGCGACTCTGCTATAGGAATTGGCTGGTTAAGCGGGCTTTAAGGATTTTTTTTTAAGGCATTTTATGTATCTACATTTGCAGTCTTCTAATATTTAGCTACAGCAAAGTAGTATACTACTTTCCTAGAAAAAAATGTTCGTACTGCATAGTGTAGTAACGGCATGTGAGTGAGAAGTAAAGTTATTCTCTGACTAAATGTATTTTAATTTGCTGTCTTACATTATACATTACTAGTACATTGTAGGCTGATCAGCTATGACGGTATTTGCATATTTTAAAGCAATCTATCTATTTATTTGTCAATGCACACAGAGGAAACGTAATTGATTCCTGCACTCTTAAGAAGTTGGGATCAGACATGGGTGTCTTCTGTATGGCTTCAAAGGTCCCCCTAGTGTGCAGTACAATTACATTGCTTGTACTGTTGCTTGCCATGTTATGGATTACAAGGCGTTGCAAGATGTACCTTGTCGTTACCATTGTCGTTGCTCGCTGGGGAAATGTTGTTGGTTAAGGGGCGACGACGATACCGAGGAAAAGTAAGATAAGGATTTCGGTACCACTGGGCGGCATTCCACAGTGGCTCTTGGAGTCAACTGGGGCTTAAAAATCGCCTTGCTGCCACTTTTAAGTTGAAGCGAAACATTATCTAATACTTGTGTACAAAAACATGAATGGTAAGACAGTTTTATTTTAGTGCATTGATCAATGCAGTTAAATATTTTAGTTAGGTATAGTAAAATGTGGGTATAGCTGGACAGTATAGTAAAATATTAGGTACACTGGACTTGAGATTGAACATTTAGTATAAGAGTAAATCTCATAAATGATAGAAAGTGTTCATGTAGTAGGTAATGTAACAAATGTTGTAGTTATAGGAAAAAATCTGTGCATTTGACACGCTGAACAGCTTTTCTTGACAAGACTTTCCTATTGGAGTAAATTGTATTTTATGCTACATGCTGTTTTTTTTTTTTTTTTTTTTTTTTTTTAGTTTTTGCAATAAAGTGCACTTCAACTTTGTTTTTTATTACATATAGACTTGTTGAGCTCCTCTCTTACCTCGGACGTAAATGTATGTGGGGGAAAGTTTTGCTGTCTAATGTTTACTACAGGTGGAATTATAGTTTGTGTTTATTTTACAAGTTTAGACCTTGACTACCCTATTATCACTAGTGGTCAAAGCCGGACTGAGGCCCAAATACGTGCTAATTTTTTTTTTAATATCCCTCCAAACACGCTTCGTACCACATTCATTGTATTCAGCGGGGTCAACTGATGGGCTGATATACTACTATGGGAACCCACTCGTTTCTTCCTAACCTACCGTTAGGGGCATGACAGCTGAGTGGGTAGATTCAGATTCGAAGTGCTGTGGTTCCGGGTTCGATCTCCGGTGGAGGCGGAAACAAAATGGCAGTTTCTTTCACCCTGATGCTTTTTCCTGACAGGACTTGTATGTGTCGCCTACCTCCGGAGGCTAGCATCGTCACAGCGGAGCTTTATGCTATTCTCTCTGCTTTTCGTCTCCTGCTTTCTTGTTGTCAATCTTCCTTTGTAGTTGTTGTTGACTCTCAGTGCCTTCATGGCTCTCGGGTCCTTTAATCCGGTCCATCAAGTGGTCGTCGAGATTCAGCATTGGCTGTTTCTTATCTCCAGTAAATTTAAATCAGTTGAGTTTTGTTGGGTTCTCAGCCATATTGGTGTCTTTAAATGAGCGTGCGGATGCTGCCGCTAGGGAAGCTGTCCGCTCTTGTCCCATCTCCCGTAAAGGTATTCCTTATTCCGACTTTTACCCAGTTATTCATTCCCTCATCCTCACCCGTTGGCGGGATTGGTCGTCTGTTACTGGTAATAAACTGCGTACTCTCAAGAGTTGTGTGTCCTCGTGGCCGTCCTCCTACCACCGTAACCGGCGATGGGAAACGGCTCTGGCGAGGTTGCGTATTGGCCATACTCGCTTAACTCGTGGTCACTTGATGGGGCGCCGCCCTGCTCCTTATTGTCCAAATTGCATTGTCCCTCTTACGGTCGTGTATATCCTTGTTGACTGTCCTGACTTCCGGGACAAGCGTGTCTTGTTTTCCGACCGTCCCCCGCGGTCGCTTGTCCCTTGTTAGCCTTCTTGGTGACTCGGATACTTTTGATATCGTTCGCCTTGTGCGTTTCTGTTCTCGTATTGGTATCCTTGGTGATATTTACGCCCTCTGATTATCCCGCATATTTGATGGTGCTACATAGCCTTCCCGGTTTGGTGACTTCTTTTGATAATTACTTACTTTCACCCTGATGCCCCTATTCACCTAGCAGTAAATAGGTA